ACGGTGAGAAGCAGTACGCCCAGTCTTCAAGTCCTGACTGTCGTCGCCATTTTCTTCATCTTCCTCCTCCAGGACGCACTTGGACCTCGATAACCGCGCTGCCAGGACGGTCCTAAGGCGAGGGATGTGTTGGGCGTAGTACCTAATGTGGTGCGCGTGAGGACACTCCGCAACAGATAGCATAAAGAAATTACATACTCTGGGTTCGCCGATATATGTTTACGCCAGCTCCCCTCCGAGTGATGTTGTACCTGAAAGATATGTATCAGACTTCGCGCGTTTGCTTCATAGAACAATGTAGGCGATGCTTCACTTTATCGTAAAGCCGCATGCATAAAGCACGGAAAGTCATTTCTGGCTCCCATTCGAGCAGCCAATTGGCATGATCTATGCAATAAACGAAAGATAAGGATAATCTATAGAGATCCTGACAATCCTTAAAACGGCGATTGCTTACTGATCGCCCACTGTTTCTCTGCCGAGGTATACCGGTAGTGCAGTTTACCCTTCTCCGTAAGAGGTTCGGGCTCCCAAGCGGGAGTTGGAGGTGAAGGACCTCTCTCCTTCAGTGTTGAAGATCGTGCTTGCTGTGTCTCACCACGTCCACCTAAATTCTTAAGTTGTCGCGTTGAAGGACCAACCGTGTTTTGTCCTTGATTGACGTGAGCTTGATCTCCGACTCCCGTATCCTGGTTGGCAGTGTCAACATCGGGGTCCACTACAGCTAATCCAAAGCGCATCAGAGTTCGCATACAGATGGGTAAAATGCATTTGTCGTGCCTGCGTCACGATGCCTCTCCAAACCCAGTTCCTTCATCTGGTCCAAAGCTGGTAGGGCAGGAGGGACATCTTGTTTCTCGCGATCGATCCCTGAAGGGAGAACCTCGCGTCCAAGAATTGGAGTGAGGGGTTGAGATAAGGGGCCTGGCTGTTGTGGATTCTGATGAGCGATAACCGGCCCAGCGACTGGATGCGATGGGTCAACTTGGGAAGGAGGCGCACGAGCCGATTGCAGAAGCGACCGTCGACCACGCAGAATGTCATCGATCATTCTGATCTTCGGAGCTCGAATCAAGTGACCACCCCATTCTTCGTCAACGAGTATCTCCCCAGCCGCAATGGACTCCGTAATCCAAGCCGGTTCGACCACTTTCAAGAGATAGTTCTAAAATGAGTTTTTGGAGGCATATTTGATGTCCAACTCGATTCTCGAACGACTCACCTGCATGGAGCATTTTCTCGCCCGGTCGTACCGCGTGATTTCTCCTTAACTCGACTCCCTCTCAGCAGGCCCTATCGACTATGACGATGACGTGTGCGGATTCTGATGAGTCGATTGCTGGTTTGAAAAAGAAATACGTCAGGAGCATGGCGGTGCAGCAGCAAACGCAAAACACACCAGCACCACCATGTTTCTATGGTAGAGGTAGGATTAGCTTATGCCTAGCACTAGAGGGTATAGAACAAACCCACTTTCACCAGGAACTTAAGATGTGCTACCTCAGGATCAGCGTCGGCGTGTCCTTGAACGTAGATCGATAACGGCTCATCTTCATCAGCTATGAAGATCAAATCCATGGCTTTTCACAACCAAGGGTCGATATGTCAACAGATAGTTGTTGGATGGTATGGTGGTGGTCAAGAACGCGTGATGGCAACATATCTGCCATGCCATTGGGGAATAAATGCTGGGGCAATGCAAAGAATGTGGCCTGAATTTGATATTCGAGTCTGTGTTTCATAAGACCCTGAATTGCCCTTATACTTTTTGGAAAGTGGACAGCGGCTCTGCACTATTGGGCATGGCGATAGTTGGGTCAAACCAACATGGGCCGCATCTTGAGGCCCAACCACTCCCGAGCAAAATACATGGCAAAGAGAGGACCTCAAGCGGCGCTGAGAAGAGAAGTATAGAAGCATAAGCGGCACTCGCCCTTTATAGCCATCCGCTTTCAAAAAGAAGCTAACGGCCTTGTTGAAAGATTAAGATCTACGCTTTCCTGAAGGAACTGAGATGGTAGGCCGCTACCAACGCGAACGAGTCTAAAACACGTCCCAAGGGACTGGCAGTCTAAATGGTGGGATTTAGGGGATCATTTTCAATATTTATATTCCCAATCGCTCGGTAGATAACCACTACTACCACGTGAAGAAGCCATCAAAGATCACAACTTTGTAACCTAGGACATTGACGAAGACTCTGATGATGACCAACTCGGCTTTGCTATTTTAGCATGCAGACCATCCCTGGTGGTGTCCACACTGAAGGAGCTGACCTCATCATCATTCATCTTCGACGCTTCCCTCTTCTTTGATGGACCAGCTACACCAATTGCATGCTCTCCTGGATTAGCTGCCCCATCTACCTCCATCTTGACCTTGTGAGTGGTCACAACTTTGAAGACTTCCTTCGCGTCTTCTTCATCGGAGCTGAAAACCATGGGATCCTCGAACGTCCCAGCTGTCCCCCGAGGGGGTTCAGTCCGTTGGTCACGCTCCAATCGAATCCTATCCGCCTCTGCCTGGAATTCTTGAGCATGGTCGCGATGATAAGTACACCAGTATTTGGGGCAACGAGACGAACGGCTTGCATCCTATGACATCAAGTCAGGGGGACAGCTCAACCATTAATTTCATAGGCAGGCGTACTTCATTGCAGAACCTCTCCCATATGGTGTCAAGATGTTCCCTGGGTTGACTTGTCCGCGGGTAATACGCCTGCGGGTTGTTAACAAGGAAAAGGATCTGAGAAAATATTGATGTATTAGTGTTGAGCTGCAAGTTAGGCTATCTGTATACTTACAACGGCTTCCCTATCCGCCTCTGTGAAAGTTGTGTACTTCGGTTTCTTATTGGCCAGAGATTCGGTCGTCATCACCAATCGGCCTCTCGCACGTAGAGAACGGGCCGTCGGAGCCGTCAGCATTCCGGTGAATTCGTAATTCGAATCGTTTTCACCACCAACGGATTGGTGCCCAGAAGCTCGCACGCCCAAAAGAGCTTTCACGAGAGGACTGCCTTGAGTATAGAATCTAATGCACACATTAGGATGTCACACATTGGATCGAATGCGAAAATCATGTACCGTGCATTAAGCCTTAAATGTGAATGCCAGCTCAGCAGCGAGTGATGAGGTACCTGGCCAAGGGAGACAAGCCAGGTTCGTGGTTATCATGTTGCAGAACACAGCCAATCCCTTACTTTATTGTGAAGCTGAGAGCATAATCCCATTAACGTGATTTTCGGCTCCCCCTTGAGCAGCCAATTGGTGTAGTCTAGGTGGTCGGGGGTGAGGTGTCGGGGCCCGAGGGTGACGAAACTACAGCCACCTACCGATAGTCCACCGCTTCTCTGCTGAAGTGTATTTGTATTGAGGAGTGCCTCTCACATTTCTTAATTCCATCCCCTGAGGAGGGCTGGGCGAAGGATCTCTTTCCATCGATGCCCGCGATGTTGCCCCTTGCTTGTTTTGACGTCGACCTGATTGCTCGGGGTTTCGAGTAGAGGGGCTTGCTCTGTCCCATCCTCGATTAATGTGAGCCCCGTCTCCGGACTCGATCTGAGTAACAGCGTTAGCATGGGAGGACGTCGCGGCTAAAACAAGGGGCGTTAGAGCATGCATCTTTGAAGAACCGAACGTGTTCGTTGTACCATGAAATTTACCGCGACCCTGTCCCTTTGCTTTCAATGATGAAATTAGGGCATGACGGCTATTGTCCTCTGCAGGACTACCTGGAGGGTCGACCGCACGTCCTTTCCCCTTGTCTGGCTTGGACTTGTTAACGAACGAGTTAGACGACGAGGGTGATGAGAGCCTGTTATGAATGGATCGATTCCGTCGCTCTATAGGTGGTGGGACGATTCCAATGCCTGCGTTTTGCTGGAGTGAGAGTCCCCGCACTGGAATGGGAGGCTCCTGCAACAGATGAAGCGAATCGTCTTGACCCTGATGTGTCATGGATGAACCAGCAATTGCTTTTGACGGGCCGGCTTGAGGAGGGGGTGCTTGATGCGAAGAAGTAGATCTCGTGAGCGACGGTCGTCCGCGCAGAACGTCGTCAATCATCCTCTTCGGAGTGGCTCGGATCAAGTGTCCACCCCACTCATTATCGACTAGTATTTCACCCGCATCGATCGAAGCCTTGATCCAGGATTGATCGACGACTTTTTTAAACAGGCAAAACCAGTCGCCCATGAGTCCTTCTATAGTAGCGAGTTCCGAGAAAGCCATACCAGCACTTTTCATCCTCTCGCCCGGTCTTACGGCATGGTTCCTTGACAATTCGATCCCTTCTGGATTGTTCCTGTCGACTATGACGATTATGTTCGCGGCTTCAGACGAATCGATGGCTGGATGGTAAATTCGTGTCAGGGAGCATAGTGCTGGCGGCAAATAGATGTCATACCAGCACCACCGTGCATCTATATAAGAGTAGAGGGGGTATGTTCATGTACATAGCGCATGAAGACATGGGGCGAACTTACCTTTACCAAAGTCTTCAGATGCGTTACCTGATCAAGGTCGGTGTCCTCTTGGACATAGATTGATAACGGCACATCTTTACTAGCCAAGAAGATCGATTCCATGGCTTCCACAATTGGGATTGAAAAGGGCAGCAAGCAGCTAGTTAGACGTAAAGTCTCTCGGAATTACAAGGGAAACACCGATCGCGCCGAATCCGCCCTCATAGTAATATTACATAGTTCTGGTGTCTCGAGAAGAGATATTTGTATAAAGCATTGATATTCTTCGGCAGAGGGCGGTGGGTGTTGATGGACTGCGTATGATGGACTGACTTTTGCGCAAAGCAAGAGGGCCGTATGTATGTCTCTAGCTATAGCTCTTTCGAACTGCTGTATACATATTGTACGATCTTCGTATATAATAAAATTTGGACATTGTATTGTGTCCAGCCAATTTATGAGCTACGAAGCAGCAAAAGTGAATTGGCTGATTGGAGCGTCGGGGATCCCTCCAAACACTCTATAAGCCTTGGAAGTGCCCCCAGACAGATTTGAACTATCGACCTCGTCATTACTAGTGACGCGCTCTACCACTGAGCTATAAGGGCTAAGTATGTGGCTTGCAATAGTAAATGTATGAGAAGCGATTCTGACAGGGACCCTGATATTGCCAATTCGAGCAGATCAACACGTGGGAGCTTTTCCGGATGTGCTATGGAACAATAATCTAACAACACCACACCGTGGTTGAGCCGGACGCCTCACGCCCCTTCACAAGCTCGTATAGGGTATCTCGATCACCAGACCCATCTACCAACGCCTTGAAAGTGCCTCCCTTCGCCAGCAACGCCGCAGGACTATCGAACTCGACAACCTTTCCTGCATCGAGAACGAGGACCTTATCTGCGGTCATGATCGTCTGAAGGCGATGTGCGATGATGATCAGGGTTGTGTCGTTGAACTCCTTGGAGATGGCTTCTTGGATGGCATTATCGGTCTTGTAGTCGACCGAAGCGGTCGCCTCGTCTGTTTTGGAACAAGGTAGCTTGGTCGGATTACGCTTCTACGTTACGTTACCCAAGGCTTACCTAATATATAGACCTTGCTCCTCCGAGCCATGGCGCGGGCCAACGCAATGATCTGCCTCTGGCCGAGACTAAAGTTCGTGCCACCACTGGTGACCTCGGTATCAAGAGAGATCTTATTCTCGCCGTCATCTTGCTGCAGGCTGAAGAGACCGGACGAATGCAAGCACGCGTTAAGGGTCGCGTCGTCGTGCTCCTCGAATGGATCTAGATTCTGTCTCAAGCTCCCGCTCATCAGCTCGGGCTGTTGCGGGATAATGGTGATGTTGTTCCGGAGAGCGTCGAGGTTTATCTCGTTGGTGTCAAGGCCGTCGTAGAAGACCTTCCCAGTCGTTGGGATCATGCGTAGGAATGCCAGGCTAAGAGACGATTTCCCAGCGCCAGTCCTGCCAACTATCGCAGAACAAGGTGTTAATTTCCACTAAATACACAGGACGTGGGATGTACTCGCCAACTCCGACACGCTCGCCTGACTTGATTTCAAAGTTCAAGTCATGCAAGACTTCCGGACCGTCAGAGGAGTACTTGGCCGAAAGTCCCTCGACGCGAATGGATCCCGATGATGGCCAATACGCTGGTGGTCTGCGGGATTCAGTCGGCTGCGGCTCTTGATCAATGTCTACGTATGCCTTGATGCGCTCCAAGCTATTGCCTAATACAAGTCGGTCAGCGTCGTGTCTAATATCTGACAATGACATGATTGACTATACCTTCTACCTCGAACATATTCAAAACGCGGACCCAGTACAAAAGCAGGCTTGTGAAGCTCAGGGCCATGGTTAGAGAGAAACCCGCGATGCTGGCCTCAGTATCTAGTTGGAAAATAATAATAATCAAATTTCAACGTCGCACCACCCCACGGTGTAATAAGGCCACTCACCTTTCCAGTAGACAAGATAAGCTGCAAGCGCCGCCGCGAACATTCCACCGAGCCCATCGATACGAATGCAGACCCAACTTGCAAACGCCACCATGTCGTCAGATAGGGGGTGGGGATAGCTTCGGTTGGGGAAGTACCAACCGGTTTAAGTCATAGAACGCTCGTGCCGGGCGTGTATATCCATCAATCCTCTTTCGACTTTCAGCCTTGAAGACTTCTTCTGCTCCGAATGCGCGGATCGAAGTCAGCCCTGCCATAGCAGCGTTGAAGTGAGAATAGACTGGCGATCTAAACGCCGGGCACCACATTAGACAGACTGATGTGAGAAGAGTATCAACGCGTGTATAGCACATACCTGGCGTTGCTCATTTCTCTCTTCACGGGCAGCTGAGCAGTCATGTAAATGGACCCGATCCAAGCTCCCCCTCCTCCCACAGCGACACCAGGAAAGAGGAAGATTGGCGAATACAACAATACCGCAGCGAACTTGAGAAGAAGCGACGTGGTCATCTCGATGAGAGTCGAGAACATGCTAGGGACCATGGCTAAGCGTCGCAAAATTAGCTCCGAGGCCCTCCTCTTGTCAATAATAATATGGTACGCACTGTCAATCGCGGTCATATCCTGGGTGAAACGGGAGATGATCCTTCCTGATGGCGTGGAGTCGAGCCAGCGAAGAGGTGCCTGAAGCACGCTGCGAGCGAGCCGTGCGTGCGTTCGCCTGGTGGCTCGGAGTGTTCCAAACAGATAGATAAGGAAGCTGATAATCATGAATGCCGTACCCATCATAATGATCACGCCATACACACTGAGAAGTGTGTCGTGTTAGGGCTTTGACTGGTCTCCGGGAGCAGGGAATCTACTCACGATAGGTACCAGATCGCGTTGACCTCCGACCCAGGGTGAATCTCGTATTGTCGAGCCCAGTACCCAAGGAACCATGTCTGAAAGTTGGTCGTGGCTTCTTGCAATATCACAAAGGCGAAGAACGAGATCCAGAACAACGGTCCTCCGAATGCACTAAAGAAGAATGTGACTAAGAAAATGTTAGAGTCAATTGACTACTTCATGTTTGCGAGACAATCGTCCAAGCTCACAGGCGTTCCAGACAATTCTCCCTTCGGCTACCTCCTCTTGTGCCACCAGCTGACCGCTCGGCATTTTCTCCTTCGCAGCAGGCTTTCCGTTAGCGTCGTCAACCTGTCCCTCCTTCTTGTCAATCTCGGCCTCCTGCTCAGCAGCCTCGCGAAGCCTGAGGTCTTTATTGAGCGCTTCAGGAATACTGTCCTTGCTGGTAGCGCGGCCGTTAGATCCGATGGTGACAACGAGATCAGCAAGGGGTGCCGTCATTCCAATGTTATGCGTCTATGAGTATGGCTCAATATGGAATCCCATCGGTTCAATCGCTGGAACCTCTCACCACTAGGAGAACGGTGCGGCCTTGAATGAGGTCTCCACGAAGACATTTATCAACGATCCAGCGAGACGTGTGGACGTCAAGGGCCGAGAGGATGTCATCCAAGAGGAGAATGGTTGCAGGAGAGTACAAAGCCCGGGCGAGAGCAATACGAGCCTACTCAGATAATCAAGACATCAATAATATACTGGGATTGGGTAAAAATAAATAAATTGATATGTACCTTCTGTCCTCCACTAGAGTCCAGGTAGAAGATCGTTCAATTGCTGAGCATGAGATGGGCGGTAACTTGACGCACCTCAAAGTCAGCCCCTTCTCCCCAACCTCTGTGTCATCACCAGCGTCAAAGAGTGCAAAATCGGTTTCCAAAGCACACTGATAGACAACTACTCGGAGAAATCAGTTTTAGCAATGTGATTATGATGAGTATAACTAATCACCTTTCTGATACCGAGCTTCGTCGAAGGTGCTTCCAAATAAGATGTTCTCCTGCGACCATCAGAAAGTCAGGAAGCTGTATAACGCGATTCAAGGTATGTCAAGACGCACCTTGATAGTGGCATTTTGGATCCATGACTCCTGTGCGCAGAATGCGACACCACCGTCCCGCGGTAGGTTAAGGAATGAATCGATCTGCTCTCGCTTGAGGTGCATCTCACCAAGGAGCGCCATGAGAAGGGAGGTCTTTCCTGAGGTCAAAAATAGAGGCAAAGCGTCAGTATAGATTTAATAAGAACCGCCGTGAGCAAACAAACCAGAGCCTGTGGGTCCTAGGATCAGGTTAAGTTTCCCTTTCTTGAAGAAGAGATCTCCGTCGACTCGTAGCTGGAAGTTCCTCTGTGAAGGGGTCGTAGTTCCACTGCTACCAGCACTGCCGCTATCCACCTTCCAAGCGAATGTCGCATTTCGGAATCCGATCGAGTCAGCATCAGTAGTAGGCGGCAAAGGGACTACGGGTGTATCCTGAGCTGGTTTGGTGAAGCGGTCCAAGAGGTCTGTCTGAAATGGTCTGGTTGTGAGACAGCAAGAAACTGTCCATGAGGTTCATGTGCTTAACGTACCTCCTTGAGAAAAGCGTCGATACGGTCAATGGAGACTTTTCCTGCCAGTATCTGGGTGACGAAATGGAGGGCTAGGGACGGGTGTTGGCGACTGTCCGGAAGTATACACTGAGCGACGGGCCAACTTACTCATGTATAGCTGCTCGGTGATCAAATCGAAGATGGCAATGGAGCTGAAGACTCGCGAGGCTGTAAGGTCTTGCTTCATTATGAGAGAATATGTTGCGAAGGTTGAGATAGACACAAGCAGAGGGAGGAGAGACCTAAAGAATCAAGAGAATTATAGTCAGTATGAGCAGCTGAAGCATAAACCAATAAGACTGTAACACTGGCAAACTGACGTGATGCTGAAGTTCCCGACGTTCCAAAGCTGCCGTCTCTTGATGTATTTGAGTTCCTCGTCTCGCTTCTCTTCTATCTGCTTATTAACTTTATTCTCCCAGCCGAAAAGCTTGATCATCCGGATGACACTGATGGCTTCAAAGATGTACTAGGGTTAGATCGTGGTCCGCACCACTGATACCTGCCATTTAACTCACTTTCTGTAATCGCTTGAACTCGGGCGTCGGTCTTCAAGGGAATCGCCATTAGTTACTATAGGTGACAGAAGCTGAATTAACTGTACCTTCTTCATTTGCTCGACCTGTAGGCCATGAAGGAGCCCAACAAGCTTGCCTATTTTCATGACATGGCTCCAGTGAGTATGATACCAGGAATATCGACAGTATAGGTCTCACTCGGGATCGGGATCGTTATAATTATCGTTGCTAGTCCAACGAACGCGGACCATCCCAAGAGTGTATATAAGAGCCAGATTGACAAGCCAAGTTGAACAGGCGCCCAAATAATGGGCATAATAAAGTTTCGTGCTAACAATATCAGGATAGTAAGCGCCTGCACACCGATCAATTTGACAGGTACAAAACAGCTTACCGTTTGTGAGATTCCTCAAGTCAGTGCTGACCATGTTGGTCAGCTTTCCGACGAGATTCTTGCTCTCCTTCGATCCTGCCTTCTTTGCTGGGTCCCCATTGGGTGGCCTAGTTGTTTCGGGACGAGGCGAGCCGCTACCAGAGGCTGATGGGGATGTACTATTGCCCTTTCCTTTTGTATTGACGTCATTTGGCTCCGAATCCCCTCTCAATGTGACCTCGCTACCTTCTGT